TCCTGCTCCTGCTCCTGCTCGTGCTCGTGCTCGTGCTCGTGCTCGTGCTCGTGCTCCAGCTCCAGCTCCTGCTCCTCACTGTCAACAACAGGATGGTCAAGTTGTTCTCGCCATCCCAGGGAACCTCTCTCTGAGTCTTCACCGAGCAGTCGAGCATGAGCTTCTAGGTTTCCCTCCTGCTCCTGCTCCTGCTCCTGCTCCCGCTCCCGCTCCCGCTCCTGCTCTGATGCCGCTGCCGCTGCCGCCGCATGACACACGTCAGGCCCTCCTCTGCTCCACGAGTACCGCAAGGGGAACCTGCACGAGTTCGAAGGACTTGCCATGTGTGTTAACCTCAACCTTCCGATCTCGCAGAGTTGCTGACAGCAAGTTCAAGATTTCTCTTGTATGAGGCGAAGAATGTCTCCTCTCTTTTCCGCCCCTTCCTGTGCTCCCTTCCACGATACGTTCCCCTCCCAACGTTGGAAGCAAGAGGTCTTTTCTTTCAGACTATCACTGCTGGGCCTTACGAGGGCTGCAGAAACTTTCAAGAATGGAATGTTTGCAAACAACAGCCGATATTTGAACACCATATGGACAATCGGCAAGGTGTGACAACTATGGAGAAATTCTTCCCTTCTCCTTGTGGCTTCCACCTTCGTTATCCTCCTCCTTCCTCTGTCCTCCTTCCCTCTTCTTCCTCCCCCTCCTTCTCCGCCCCCTGCCCCCACTTAACTTTCTCCCTCCCTCCTTCAGCTTTATCTGTCTCCATCGTCCCTCATATAGAAACTTCTCACATTGCAACGCACACAGATGTTTCGCGACAGTTTCTCCCGCGCTCAGAAATTCTTCGCCGAGTGATACCCTCCACGTTCCCTCTCCCTCCCTTCTGCTGAACCCTCTCTTCACAGAAACCCAGGACTCTTCCCTTCTCCTATCGGTACCGGCAGGTACTGCATCTCACTCCCTACCTCTCACGGTAGGAGCAGACGTGAGGGAATGGATGTGGGCGAGCGCCATCATAATGTCGCGCTCATGGGGGGTGAAGATTCCAAAGACAAGCTTACTCATGGTACTCTCCTCCTCCTCCTCCTCCTCCTCCTCCTCCCAAGTGCTGCTGCTGCTACGCGACCGCTTTATCATCTCATCTTCATTCATCTTCTTCTTTCCCCCTCCCTGTCTGCCTCCTCCCCTTCCCCTCCCCCCTCCTCACCTTTCCCCTCCCTTCTGTTATCTCTCCTCCTCCATCTCCCTCTCCCTCCTCCTAGTTCCTACCGCCCCCACATCTCTCTTCCCCTCATGTTGTCCCTGCAGCAGAAGGCCGAGCGCGCAGGAAACGACAAGATGCACATCCTAGTTCCTCTCGCCGACATGGTCAACCATGACGCCAAGGCTCGCAAGGTCTCAACCCCCTCCAGCTCTTCCCCACCCACTTGCTGCCCCTCCTACTCTCCTTCCTCCTTCTCTCCTCGCCCTCGCCCTTCCCCTACCAACATCCCCTCTCTACTATCCTCCTCCTCCCCTTTAATCTCTCCCCTCCCTCCCATGTCTGTTGTCAACCTTTGCTCCTGCTGCAGGTTGGAATATCCGAGGGTGGTGCGATCGTCATCTACGCAGGAAGAAATCTCGCTGCTGGCGAGGAGGTCTGCATCACATACGGTGAAGGTGTATGGGCCCTAGCTCATGTCTCAAGGTCATGTGACAGGTGACAAGTGCAACATGGAGCTCATGGCTCACTACGGCTTCTTCGTGCCTCACAATAATGTGAGGGTCCTCTAAGTGTTGCTCATGATCGCACTTACACTTGTGCAGAAGACAACTTGTGAAATTGACCACATCCTTCAGAAGAGAATGTGGGAGAAGTAACCGGAAAGCCATCTCGTGGGAAAGAAATTTTTATTTGTTTACAGTTGTTCATCTAATTTTTTAAAGAATATATGAAAAAAATGGAAGGGATAAAGCAATTCAGCTGAATCAGACATGGGTAGTTCTAACAATCCGTTCCAGTGAGCTGACTTCCATCAGTCGTGCCCTGACCTCTCCTACGCTGTCAAATACAAAATTGTCCCCAATTCTCTTGCCGTTTCTCGCAGTAGTTTCCTTCTGTTGCAGACTTCTCATGTAGGCTTGCTGGGAGGGAGAAAGCTTGAAGACTCTTGGTCGGGAAGACTTGGTGTACAATACAAGGGAGGATTCTACGAACAAGATGGATCTGTTTGCACAAGTTTCTGTAGTTGTCATGATTTGGGATCAGGTGAGGTGGTCGAGGAAACCAGAGCGAAGAAGAATGGAGGAGGAGGGAGGGAGAGCAGAGGGGAGCAGAGGGGAGGGGAGCAAGGGAGTTGGGGAAGAGGATGAGGAGGATGTACGTAGAGATGCGTATGGTTGTACAAATACGGAGAGCCAGGGGATCTGGAGATGCGGAGGTTACGTGCTGCAGGGGTCGAAAGGGTGTGCTGCGATATAAAAATATTGTAAAGTGACCCTTATATTTGACTTATAGCGGGGAAGTGGCGAAGGGGTGTTCTATTGCCGAAGATAGAAGAGCCGTAGAGGGCGCTAAACCGTCTTCGAGTCAAAACCTAATATCAAGGAAATCTCGAGACCCTGCAACCCTGCTCCCGGACTCCTCCGTCGAGGTAAGCTGTAAGCCCCGAATAACCTTCAAAATAGCCCATTTCAGTCTCTCTTCCGGCCTCCGTGCGATAGATTCCTCAAAACTTCTTCGGATTGCGGATCCGGAGGCCGGCACAGGTTTCGAAATCCCTCCTATTCCGTCATGTCACGTTACCAGTTGACTGGCTCGGGCCCCGGCGGCAAACGGGCCCGGGGAAAAGACGAATCGTTGAGACGCCCGGTCACTGAAACTTCCACTACCATCACTCACCGACTCGTGATGGCTTATGGAGCAAAGAAAGCCGAATTCCTACATGAGGTTTGTGATGCTGTTATTAGCAAAGAGAGATGATCTAGCCTGACAACAGTAGGTAACTCCCACATGAGAAGAATATAACGTTGACATCTATGAATCGATCACTACGTGATTTGATATAAAATAGTTCAACTGCGGGTTCGAACTCCTTTCAGTGCCGCACCGCGTTCCTCTACGAAAGTTATGAGCTTGCATTGTTGAGAAATAAAACAAGAAAAACTGAGCCACAATATCTAGTGGCTAAGCAAAAGCATTGTGCATGGAAAAGCTCAATTTTTTGAAATAATCTGACAAAAGGAGGAACGAACATAATGTTCTTTCGTATTCTGAGATATGTAGATCAACCTTGTTCGGAATTCATTACAATATACAAACGACTATGATACAGTTTATGAAAGAGACTGCATCTGCTTCAAGAAAGATCCATGTACCGCCCCCTAACCTGATTTATACTGGCGAGCAGACAATCTGCATCTGACATCGTCACAGATCCTTTCGATTGTGACACATGGCGCGAGGAGTCTAGATAGGCTCGTTGCGAATCAGAAAGTTTGAATGCTCTCTTCGGTAAAGTTCTGGGCCTTTCGAATGAGAAATTCAGCAGCTCAATGGAGAAGTCCTTTGTTGCTTGTGGATCCATGGATTCAGATGACCTCGAGGAGTTCACAGACAGGCACGTGGGTGTAGGATCAGAGCTTGCTCGAGCGCAGAAAATGCACTATCAGATGATGACAAGGATAGAAGCTGGCTGGCTGGGGGAGGATTGGCGGTGCAAAAAGTTCGGAGGTGCGGGGGGGCTGGAGCAGAGGAACGGGGCGGGGGGCTGGTGAGAGGGGAGGCTGAAATGGAGGAAGAGGGAGTTGGGGAAAGAGATCAAGGGCGGGGGGAGGCCGGGGAGATTTTCGCTCGAAAAAGTCGAAGATAAAAATAACGTATTAGACGAAACGTTGTTTGTTCCATTGTTTTCTCCGGAGCTTGTCTGAAACGTTGTTTGTTTTTCGTGTGTAGGGTCGCAGTGCAATCTTGAGATACCCACTCCCTGCAAGGGTTTGACCGTGGTCAAAACACGGAGTCTTCTAGAAGACCACCAGATACACGATCTAACGTCCGGGGCCCGTACAGTACCCTCACTACCCCATTGAATAATAGTACTGGGGGATGGTGGGTGGTGGTTCGAACTATTTCCCTGTCGGTCGATGACTCCGAAGAAGGCAATGCTTGTAAAAGTTGTGAATCTGTTGTAAACATAGTGAGCAGTTTTGAAGTACTGCTCCTAAATTTCAAATTTGAATGTCAAGAGTTCCAATCTGACTGCAGGGATTCCGACACGTGGCAGTGATGGATACGAGTGTTCACGAAGGGAATATCTGATGGCCCCAAGAGAAGAAATTTCTCAATAGAGCTATTAATTAAATCCCCCTACCTCTGTACTTGCACCCTCGAAAGCACCGACTCTTCCGACCATTCCCACCCCACCCCTTTTATAGTCATATCCTCCATGTTCGTGTAACTACAATTGAGTCCCCTCCCGACGCTGTTAGCAAGCGCTTTCTACCTCCCTCCCCTCCCCTCCCCTCAGTCCCCTCCCCTCCCCTCCCTTCATCCCTGTCTCCCTCCCTTCCTCCCTGTCTTTGACTCCTGCAACAATCATTTTATCTCGGTGTAGTGATTCGAGTTCGATGTAAAATTCGTACTTGACTCAAGTCAACCTTGGGGAAATATCATCACAATAAGTTCTGCATTGTCGCAGAAGACTTGGTCGTTTTGTGTTATCATTATATTCTGTACAAGACCGCAATGGCGATAAAATCCTTTGGGATTCGAATTGTTGAGTCATCCTTCGCCTTGTACACAAGTTCTACTCACAAGGGCCACACTAAGAAATTTGTCCTGACTGTCGGTGTCCCAAGAAGAGTACGTCAAAGGAATGCGGGACGAGACTGACAAGAGAGTTCGCAACGTGTTAGGACCAAACTTTCTTCTCGAAGCAGTTGAACAGGCTCGACAAATCCGAAAGAGCAGAATAACTGTGATGGTTGAAGAAACGTGAGCCGCCGGGTGTGTAAGGGCCCCGAGCACACAAACTTTCTCATACAAGGGCTGACACGAAGCTTGTTGTAGTAAGAGACGATGCAAGCTTGCAGGGAACAACGGGACCTCAAGACCTCAAAGATCCTACCTGGCAAGTGACACGTTGACCTGGACTCTGTATGAATACAATGAAATGAACGAGTCCGATCCGGTTTCCCTCTTGCGGCTGAGGAGAGGATGACTCAGACATCATTGTTGACAAATTCTGAAAGGTCGAGGACTGAGATGAATAATTGAATAAAGGATGTTTAGAATTTCAGTTTCCAATCCGACTTATTAAGGCTCTGACAAGTTGCCAGCGCCTGATATTGACCCGGTGAACCATCGGAACGGATCGGCGTATCATCGCCGGTCCCGGGTGCGCCGGACGGTAGACCGTCGTCGGACGGGAATCAACTAAGTTCCCCAGGCTTCACCTGTGCAGTGAACTTTCACTTTGAGTCTTTACTCCTGGCAAAGTGTTCACTTTGAGAGTCACTTATACTACTACTATCATCATTGAATAACTTAGTATTATTCTGACTCGGCGATGATGATCATCCCTGAATGATATGCCGCCGGGGAGTCTGATCCTCTGGGCCGATCATCACCGATCAACTTAGTCGCCCGGGCCGCGCGGCGAACTTCCGGCCCAGTCACTCACTGGCGTTGCGGCGCCGGCCGGGTGGCGCCGCGCCGGCGCCGCGCACTGCGGCATGGTCCCGGCGGCCTGTGAGACCGACCGTCCGGACTGGATCGGACAGTGCTGCTAAAAAGTGTAGTCAGGGCTTCTTTACTGTGACTCAAAGTTACGTTGAAAATCCGAGTGCGGGCGGATGGTGCGGATGACTTCTAGACCAGCAGAGAACGGATTCGAGATATATCGCAAAACGTGACTGGTGGCGGCAAGGGGCGTACAGTACCAGACAAGGACCGTGACTACTTCGCTAAGATGACTGTTGTAAAGGTCGAGGTGCAGGGCGAACGGGTTGCGACTCCCTTAAGAACTAGATCTCTTGATCATGTCTCAAGGCTCTACAGGCGGCTGACGAGTCTGACCCATTGGCAGCCCCATACAGTCGTTGGGCGACATGAGCCTCTAAGTACCCCGGGAGTCGACATCACCTGTTGCATCGGGGGAATAAGGGGGTCCTGGGGGGTGGGCTGTTGAAGGATTGCAACTGAGTCAGCAAACGAGTCAGCACTTCGACTTCTTGGAAGAGGTCGAACCTTCTCTGATCGTCATGATTTACGAAAACGAGAGGTTTCAGCCTCGGGTCCGACGTGTGTCCCCCCAATCTTGCAGGGGGACTTGAAGTGAAGACGTCTAGAAAAGGAGGGTTTGGAAGACGCGAGAACAAGAGAAACAGGACGCGACACGACACGAGACAGGAAACGAAGAGGCAAGGCAAGGCAAGGCAGGGCAAGGCAAGGCAAGGCAAGGCAAGGCAAGGTTGTCTTGGAAAGGAAAGACACCATTTGTTTGGTCATGGGAAGATCCAGGGTCATTTCTCAGACTGCTGTAAAACATTTCAACAATCGTAGCATTGACATTGTGGAGTCAACAGTTAAGTTTTCTTATCCATCTCTCACCCGGAGAGCATCCTTGAAGCTCACGGCGGCTCAGCTGCAGTGCATGGACAAGTTCCCTCATGGTCAGAGAGAGAGAGGAAACAATCCTCTAGGAGAAGATTTTCTTCTGCAAAGCATCCAGCAGGCGAGGCTGAGGCAAGGCTAATATGCCGTTTCCATTCTCCTTTTGTTACCGCAATTCAGATCCAACTCGTTTTGCCAGATTCATTTTCTAGAAGGATATTTGGCAAAAGTCTGCGTCAATCTCAGCCCCAGGCGACTGAAAGGCATTTGAGCCTTTCAAAAATCTCTTATCATCGTTCCTTCTTTTGAAGATCCGTTATCAACTTTCATCGGAAAGTTTGAAGCTTGTTTCCTCCTTTCATGTTTTTGTGATATATATGTATCATGAAGGAAGGTCTGTACACGAAAAAAACTCACGGCCACTGTGTAGATTTTTGAGCCAATGGTTTTGTTGTCAAATAAAATAGTGATTAAACTTTAATCTTAGACCTTGGCATGCTATCCTAACAACACCTGTAGGGAGTCATTTTTAAATGCGCTTCTGCAAAGTTTCTTCATCACGAGATTGCATAGCATGTAACAAGGAAATATTGAGTGCCGGCACGCATGCTCATTACCTTTCAAAAACTGTGGAAGCCAAGGAAGATTCAACAAGTACAGTGGAAATTAAGAAATTTCAACACACACAAACACTCACAGAACGACTCTCAACGTGAAAATTTTGGAAACTTTTGCTTTATTTACAACTACAAAATTTTGAATAAACAAGGAAAAAATAGTCTAAAGCACATACACGTTTTCTGCAAAACTCACACTAAAATCTCGTAAACCGCCTGATAAACTACAAACAATACCGCATTCGAGAGTGCCACTAACGAGCAAACGTCAGATCTCCTGCAGTGCGAGATGGTCTCCTGCAAGACTGAACCGGTCCTCTTCAACGCAAACTTGATGGAATCCACAACTCCCCCGCGTCTCCTCACTCCATTGTGCGGGACAACACCCTTTCCGTCCATGACTCCCTCCAAGGAAGCGCTAGCAACATAGGAAGCAGACCCACACAGAGCGCCCGAGATCGCTGCTCCTCCCAGGCTGATGCTCAGGATAGGGTTCATCACGCACAGGGCTGTATAGGAGAGGAAGAACACTTCGAACCCCACGATGTTCGAGAGGCATCGCTTCCCCGCATCCATGAGCTTGTGAGCCAAGTTCATCTTGCGCTCGGAGCTCGCTGGGTCGAACAACAGCGAGATCAAGGTCGACATGATACCTGTCCCGAACGCTGCCACAGCTACAACCCCGAGCCCCCCGGAGATGGAGGAGAGGGAGAGAGTCCCCTTCAAGTATGCGTACGTGCCAGCATTGACCGCCCTCGTGATCGCCGTGACCACCATTGACTTTCGGAAGCCCTTGTAAAGGTCCGTGACTCGGCTGCGGAAGACATTCTGCATTCGGTTGAAGATGGAGCCGAACTCTCCCATCTTCTTCTGTCCTCTCTCCACAGCCTCCAAAGGGTAGCCGACTGAGAGAGCAACAATCCCCCCAAGTGCCCCAGCGACAGCATGCGCCATCAGGTTGGTTCCTGGAGGGCTGAAGAGCACGAGGCCTTTCGACAGCTGGATCAAGGCGACGATGGCGAGGGTACCTCCGATCATCTTCTCCGATACGCCATTGCTGATCTTGTTGATGTAGGCGGAGAGATCCAGCTGGTCTGTGCTGAAAGTTGCTGCATCCGCCAGAGACTGCTTGAACCTCACAGCAACCCCGGTCCTCTTCTTCAAACCCGACAGGCTCTTCAGGTTGTCATAGCTCGCCGGTTCAGATAGAGGCTGGCGTCGCAGGGGAACTCTCGTCATGTGTCTCAGGCGAACCAGGTTGCTTGTTGTTATCCTTGATCGTCCCAGGGAAGGTCCAACCGCTCCCATGTGGAAGGCGGAGCCATCCTGAAGCAGGACGACGAAAACCACCAGGAAGGTGGCTGCGTTGAGTAAATTACTTCTCTTGTCTGTTTCTGAGCATTGCGTGGTCCAGCCTTTACCCATCAGAGGATGAGGCTAAGTTTTTGGGAGTAGAGTGTTCACGAAGAACAAGGAGGAAGAGGGGGGAGGAGCAGGTGGAGGAGGAGAAGGAGGAGGAGAGTGGGAGAGGGAGGATGGCTTAAGGGAAGCAGGAGTGGAGTAGGTCATAAAAAAACAATGTGGGGAGATGTCACATAACCCTGGGTGGGTACTCGCGAAAATTATTTTTCAGGAGGGGTAGGGTCATCCAAGTTTTTGGAGATTTACGAGGTGGGGTTTGTTTGCAGGGGTGGGGGGTGTCTGTTCCATTGGACTCCTAATGTAGAGCAAAGAAGACTAAACAAGGGTCTTCGATTTACCGAATGTGTTCATAGGTAAATCATTGATACCTATCGTACTGCGCTAGAAAGTCCTGGGAACTGCTGTGATGATTGAATTGAACCCCTCCATTTCTGGTCATTCTCCATGTTCGGGGTGGGTGGTGATAGAAGAGGGTTCTCATGAAAACATCCATAAGGAACCAAGTGGGGTGGGTTCTGCCTTGTAAGGGGAGGGAAGAGGTGAAATCTCTGAATGACCCCACCTCCTGGGGTGGGTGGTAACTCACGAGAATGTTTGTTGAGGGGGTAGGGGTGGATTCTTATATGAGGTGGGGTAGTGGCTCTATTGATCAAATGGCGGAGGTGGGTACCATGTTTGCAACGGGTGGGATGTCCTGAGATGTTCAAATGTACCCCCCTGGGTATGTATTTATGCAGGAAAAACTTGGGTAGCCGATGCAAGGAGCTTTTACCGGGGTAGGTCTGTTCATTCTTCTTGGGGTGGTCACCAACGACGGGGTAGGGTAGTGTGTCACAAAGTGGTGTAACAAAGGATCCATGGCAAGGAGATTTTCAGATGGACCAGTGGAGTAGGTAGGGTAGTGTGAGGAAACAGGGTGGGCAGTCCGATCCCACTTTTCGGGGGTGGGGTCATGAACTGGGGGAAGAGAAATGAAACGGGGGAAGAAGAGAAGTCATGATATGAGGGGTAGGTTCTTTAATGGCAGGCAAAATTAGGGGTACTTTGCTGGTATTATCAAGGGGGTGTAGTACGAGACAACAGGGGTCTAGAAATAGAACTTGGGGAAGGAAGAGGTTAGATTGCAGGAGGTGGTGGGCTTCTCAAGAGTACCCAGGGGTTGGTTTACCCTACCAGTTATCTTGCCATTCCACTGACTTTTGCAGGGAAAACAACTGGTCCTGTGTGGTGTTGATTCAAAGACCACCGGTAGTGAAAAGTTGGGGACAAACTTACAGGGGTGGGGATGCTCCATGCCAGAACTTGGGGAATATGGAACAAAACGATTCCGGTGAGAGGGGTAGGGGGGTGTAGGGGTGGGGCGATGACGTGAGGTCATCAAAGATTGCCTGGTAGGGGTACATCGGAGGTTACAGAATCAGAGCTTGGGGGGTGGGGGTGCTCTAGTTGTACCTGAAAACCGCTGAAGATGGCGCGTCAACGACAGCGTTGAGAGAAGTTCCTTTCACACCCACCTCTTTGGCTATTGTTTTATGGGAAAGAGGGGGGTAGGGGTTATGCTAAACGCCTGCCACACCCATGGAGAGCTCGTTTAGCAGCCTTACAAGCATGCGCAGGCCGCAGCCCACGAGTCCCTTGGACAATTCAGAGTGGGGTCTTATCAACCTATCAGAATCCTAGGACCCTCAATGTTTAGGGAAGTGGGCCTCTACCTCTCTTTAGGCCTAAGGGAGGACGCTTGTAGAAAGGTTCTATTCCGATGTAGCAGTATAGGACCCCGTCATAGCAAATGGTGGCACCACTCCACCCCTTCCTTCAACGAAATGGAACCGGGTGTTGCGGATCACTCAGAACTCAAACGATGTGTGTAGAGACTTCTTCTTGTTCCTCCATTTTACTGATTTTTAGTATTGCCCCCGACTTAGTATTATTATTGCCCCGACTTTACAAAACCTTTCCTCAACTCGGACGACCTCAGGTTTGATTCGGTTCATGCTTGATTTATTTGATCCTTTTTGGTTTGAACCATTGTTCTGCCCATTCTGGAACTTTCGAAAGTTCTCAGAAAGTTTGTAGTCCCTGTAAGTTTCGATGCAACTGTAAGTCTCAAACTCCCAAAGTTTCGAAACTTTTGAAAAAGCAGAAGATCAAATGCACTGAGGGCGTGGCAGGGGAGGGGAGGGGAGGGACGTGTAGGGGATAGTGAGGAAAGGAAGGGGAAGAGGAAGGGAGAGAAAGGATGGGGAGGAAGAGGAAGGGAAAGGGAATCAAGATGCTTGTCTTGCCTTGTTTGGTTGTTATGCTAATCTTCGGGTAACAGGCGACAAGAAATCCAACAGGAATTTATCGTTTGATAGCCTATCAACACTAATGATAGAGCTCTGAGAGATGAGATTCCTTCCATGCTGTCTCCATCAAGACGATACTGAGAACCGGAACAGCAACGGGAATTTCAACTCAGAGGCAGCCTGCTGCCCCTCAGCTTGCTCTTTGCAAGGAGGTCCCGAACTTCCAGCCTCCCATCATGCAGTGGCGAGTTCCGGGCAACAAGGAGCTGCGGCTCATCCTTGCTGCTCGGAGGACGGGAAGGGCACGATCGAGGATCTTCAGCGTGAGATGCAAAGGGGACTGACGCCTCCTCGCTCACTTACTGTGGCAGTTGACGTTAGAAGCTCCGAGGAGAAGGCGAGAGGAGCCATCGAGCAACTCAGGTGGCGCGAAGCAGCTTCCTAACTTCCTCCACCTCTCGCCCTCCCTCTTCCTGCTCCTCCTCCTGCTCCTCCTCCTCCTGCTCCTCCTCCTGCTGCTGCTGCTCCTCCTCCTCCTCCTCCCCCCCCCCCCCCCCCAGGGAGGAGGAGGAGGAAAAGAGTAGGT